TTGTCAAAACAATATTTTGGATATGTTTCCCATGGGCTTTTTGTGCAGGTTCCCTATAAATTTGGGTCGTAGTCCATTATACAAGCTCAAGATCATCCTTGGAGTTAGTTTTTAAAGTTTAGAGATGAGAAATATTTAGGAAATGGCTTTGTTGTACATGCAGTGTCATTCAGTAATAAGGATTAACATTTAATTCTCTTTCTTGATATCACATAAATGTGAATTGAACTACTTCGTTTGTTGCAGTTCATCTGATGAAGAGGAAAATGACAAGGAGAACATTGATCCCTGTCCTCACAAGTCAGTTGACATGTCTTCTCCAAGTGGAGATCCTGTTAAAGCATTTGTCGATGAGGAAGCTGAAGAAGAAGATGACAGTGACAATGACCGATTGTGCTTTGGAGATAATGATGACGATGAAGATGATGATAGTGAAGATCCGGAGGAACTTGAGGATATGATAGCAACAGAGTATGAAGAAAAGGAAACTGACATTGAAAAACGCATGGAACACCATCAGGAGTTACTTAATAAACAGGATGCTGCTGAAACTGAAAACATGTTGCAGAGATGGGGCTTAAAGCAGAGAGAAACCTTGCTTGAAGAGGAGTTGAATGGGGAAAGTGAAGAAGACATGGAGGAGTCTGACGATGAGGCTTCAGATGATTTACCTGAAACAAATTCTATTCGAATGAGCATAAGAAAACTAAGAGAAATGATCCCTCAAATGTTTAAAGATAAAGATGATGTCTACATATCATCTGATGATGAGGAAATGGAGAAAAGCCTTGTTAAACAGCACCAGTTTGAGAAAGCTGTGAGTACTTCTTATGAGGTCTTAACTTATGGGTTTAAGAATTTTATTTGGCATGAATAAGCCCTTTGGAAGTTGTTATTGTCATAAGATGGTTCTACTATGATATGTTGCAGGACAAGCAGGCAAAGTTATTACCACCAACAGAGGATGCAATATCTAAAGCATTCTGTAGTCATATAAAGCAGGTGAATAACATGCCTCAACCGAGGAAAAAGGCCAAAATATCTTGTAAGGCTCTTATCATTGAATTTATAACTGTAAAAGCCATTTCACCTAGACCTAGTCCACAAAATCTTAGTTTGTTCACTCGTTTTCTTCTAATAGTCATTTTAATTTTTTACAGCAGCCTTTTCTACCACGTTACTTACTGGAGGAAAGGGGAATGTATCATCAAAGGTAAACTAACTAGCACCCTGGGATTTTGAGTGGAGTTCTCTTCCTACCTAGATACTAGGACAATGTGAAAGAAATAAGGTAAAAAGGAAAATAAAGTTCTTTGATGAATGATAATTTAATATACATCATATTTCATTATGAATAAATTCTCAGATAAATAATTATGTTTTCTTTAGATATGGTTTTTACACTTACTCTGTAGTAGTGGCATTTGCTTTTGACCTCCCTTCTTTTAAGAAGTTTCATTTTATGATTTCAGTATGTCACATGATACTATTTAGCATAATCTTGATGACTGAAGGCTTGACCATGTTTCTTCAAGCTACTCTGCTGGGATGTTTTATCATCTTTGGCATAGCAGAATCTCAGATTTCTTTTTGCGCTTCATTTCTTTTCTGATAACTTTCTTACATTGAATTTAAGAATGTAAACAAAAATCTGGTATAGGAACCAAGTCAGCTTAACCTCACCATTTGTACATATTGCAGACATCTTTCATTGGTAGAGGATCAAAAAGTTCTTTACCACCAATCCAGAAGCAGGGATCAAGCATGGCACGTTCTTTTATATTTGAACGAGAAGTCAGTAATAGCAGGAGCAGAATTTCAATGGCAGAGGATTCTTCAGATAAGGTAAGGCTACCACAAAACAACCAAGGAGTTGAAGTACATAAATTTCCATATTTGGGATTTGTTTTCCTTGAAAATGCTACCGAGTTCAGTAGTACTTCTCATTTAACTTCTTGATGCTAGGAGCAAGATTATTCTCTTTACCAAATTGCCAAATGCTGATATTCACTAATATCACCCTTTTACTTGCAGATCCAAATTGCCAAAACCCGACCAGCAAAACCCACATCAGCCAAATTTAGTAACTCTCAAGTTACACCTACTGCACAAAGCAAGAAACCTGCAGCAGAAACCAGTTCAAGAACTCCATTGCTGGATATATTAAGACGTTCTTCACTGCAACTGCAATCTAGTAGCCACTGCACACGCAATAGCTCTATTGATAGCCCTGGGTCTATCTTTGCAGCATTCAAAATAGAAAAGAAAACAATACAAAATAAATCCAATGCATCTATAAGAACTTTTTAGATTATTGTACTTAGTAGTATATAAATCTCTTATTATATACCTCAGTTTTGTTTTTTGGCAATTCTTTTTCACTCATATGTTGTTTTTAGTATATTAGGTTATAATCATAATATTATATAAGATTATAAATTAATAATTATAAAATAATATTAAATAAATATATAATATTATAATTACAAGATTTTTATTTTTTGATTCTCTTTTACTGAAAAAAAATATTTTTTGAAGTATTTAATAACTAGAGATATATAAAGAAATTGTTCTTATTATAACAAAACAAAAGAATAAATAAAACCTACCAGATTTTGAAGTTGAGCAATAATGCCTAATTTAATAGGAGATAAATATGTATATATATATAAAGGAAACAAAATAATAAATAAAACAGCATTATCCATAAAATTATCATATTTCTGAATTTTCATATTGCCCATTAGAAATGTCAACTCAACTGTCATTGTAACAGAACCTGTTCCACGCACAAAACAAATTTCCAACGGCTCTAACCAACCACACAAGCAAGAGGCATCAGCATCATTCAACAAACCTATTGGGGGCAGCGCCATTATCATCATTTTTTTCTTTCATTTTCTCGCAAATTTTATCCTTTTTTTATCTATTTTTTTCCCCTTTATTTAGCAGTATCTGAGTTTTGGAAGTTCATCTCCTTCCCCCACTTTCTTCGTTTGGCTTTTGTTTATTTATGGCGAAAACCGCAACCTGATTCAAACGTGGCGCTTAGGGTTCTGATTTTGGATTTTCCGTTAATGGCTGAGCCCAGACGAAACGACCTCGGAATTCCTTCTGGCTTGAATCGGATCAAAACTCGTCCGGTTTCTACTAAATCGGAGGAGTCGAACGAGTCAAGCAGTTCAAAACCTCCTTTGAAGCAGCAGAACCAGAAAACCGTTCCTCCAGGACATGGAAAGATGCTTGGTTTATCCAAGGAAGGTTAGAATTTCTCTTCTTTTTTTTCTTTTTTTTTTCTGGTTTTTGTTTCCTTTCGCCTTTTGTTTTTGTGTTTGAGTTATGTTTGGTTGCCGAGAAAATGATAGAGGAAAACCGAAACTCAAATTCTGAATGTTAGAGCTTAGGGTTTAAGCTAAGCAAGTGCGTTTCAACTGTTTCAGAAGTGTTCTAAGGTGTAAAATCAAGTATAGATTGAAACATGCATGATGAATCTAGCTGAATTGCAACTATGTTATGTTGCCTTTGCTTGTGCGATGTTCTAGAATTGGAAATAGTGGATAATGAAAGGAAATTTTGGGGGCATAATAGGTGGTGGTGTTTCTTGCAGTAATACAAGTTTTGTTGGTTCTGGAATTTTTTTCAAGTAAAGATTCCTGGTTACCTGTTTGCAGCTATTAAGTCCTTGTTTCCCTTTCTGTTTTCATATTTTATAGTGGAGCGTAAAGGAAACAAGATATCTCGGTGGTTCACCTCATATATTTCAAAGAATTCCAATGATGTTTCCAGTGTTGAGGTGACGTTCCAACTTTTTTGACTCGATAGTGGACTATAACTTACAGTGTATAATATATCTTATACTGCACTGATTACTGAGGAAGGCCTCCTGCTCATTTGTCAGAATGGTAGCTCCGAAGTTAAGATGCATGAGAAAGAGGAAACAACAAGAATTAAAGTTGGCAGCAATGGCAATCTGCAGAATGGAAAGCAATCTTCAGCAGATGTTGTAAGTGGTGGCAAAGCTTCAAAAACTCTGAAGAGTTTTTCACATGAATTAGGACCTAAGGGTGGAATTCAATCTGCCCATCCTCGGGTCCATAGTTATGGTGATTTGAAGGTACATAAGTTAAGACTTCACTTTATAATTTTTTTTCTTTTTATTTTGTTGCTTGATCAAATTTTTTTTTTGTTAGCCTGTACTTTGTGCCACAGAATTTTAGCAAGAATACCTTTGCATATTTTTCTCATTTCTTCTATGAATGGCCAATAACATTCTTGCTAGCTTACTCTAGAAATGTGCTATAGACAAATCAGATAGCCATTGTGACAGTTCTGTATGAAGAATAATTCTGGAGCATTAAGGCATCTTATTTTGGACAAATTCATGGGCTGCTTTTTTAATTTTTTTTTATTACATTAACAATTCTAGTGGACTCTGTCATTTATGACTAGCTAATTGTTTCTTTTGCCCTTCTTCATCTCATTTTATATGTATATTCAGGAGCTATTGGGTTCATTACATTCAAGTTTTGATGCTGCTAAAGAGGTGGTTAATGCAGAGCTGTCTAGTTTTTGTAGGGATGTTATGGATGTTATGGGAGTCATTGAGTCCTCATCTCTGGAGGGTCACAAAATGGCACAAGATCTTCTGGTTCTTGCTCAACAATGTATTGAAATGATTTCTTCTCAGTTTCGTGCCAAGTGTGAAACAATTGTACAAGATCTGACTGAGAAAAGGCAATGTTGTCAAACAGGATTAGTGAAATGGCTGTTTACACGAATGCTTTTTATTTTGACACGGTGCACAAGACTACTTCTGTTTCAAAAAGAGAAAGAACCAATTGATGAGAAATCTCTTAATAAATTTAAGAAATGTTTAGAAAGTGTTCCTGCTGTTGAAAGTAGCTGGGTGCCTAATCGTGAAATTTCCAAGTCTGGTTCATCTAATACTTTCTATCAGAGGGCCAGTAGACCCATATTACAGGGAAAAAATAAGGAATCTTCTTTCCTAGAGCCAACCTGGCCAGCTGAACAGATTGATGCAACTTGTACAACAGATTCCATTATTACCAGAGAAAAATCACTTCCAAATAGATCCCAACTTGATTCTGTATCGCAGGAGCAACAATTTCACCAAGCTGATGGCAATCTTATTGGAAAGTCAGCCAATAGTTCCACTTGTAGTTCTCTCCATGAGCACAAACAAACTTTAGATGCTTCACTTGTTGAGTCAGAACGTACTTTAGATGAATCTGGTTCAGTAATCTGTAGGATTTGTGAGGAAGCTGTTCCTATTACTCATTTAGAATCCCATTCTTATATATGTGCATATGCAGATAAGTGTGCTTTAAATTGTATAGATGTAGATGAGCGTCTAGTAAAGCTTGCAGAAATACTGGAACAGATAATTGAGTCACGGAATTTGAGTTCTCAGCCTTCCATTGGAAGCCCTGAAAATTTGAGATTACAAAATTCAAATTCTACAGTTATATTAGATGGTTATTCTCCAAAGATAAGTGAGTGGCGGAATAAGGGTGTTGAAGGAATGTTTGAAGATATACATGAGATGGACACTGCCTGTATAGATGATTCTCATCCAACCTCTATTGACTTCAAGGTTCATTTGGGAATGAGGCTTGGGAACTATGGTGCTTCATCCTCAACTGGGAGCATAACGTCAGTATCCTCCATGAATACTCCAAAAGCAGGTCACTTCGATTATTTCTGGTTGGAACGTAACAATCCATCTGAACAAGAGGATATGCAACAGGTTAGTTGTTTTTGCGTTGGACATAATTTCCTATGTTATCTTAGGTTTTGCGTACTACATTTTTAATATGCCCTATTTAATTGACTGAGGTAACATTTCTGTTTGCATGAATGCCGTGCCTCTACACTGATTATGAGGATACCCATAACTTGTCCAAAGTCAAGCACACCATCTTATTTTGCACAAAATTTGCAAATATTTGTTGTATGATTTTTTTCTGTTTGCAGTTTGCTTGTCTTTCACCATATGATGTCCCTGTAATGCAATAGGGCCACGTTTTATATAGCCTTAATTTTCCATTTTCTTTCTCCTGGCAGATGATTGACCTTGCAGATATAGCCCGTTGTGTGGCAAGTACTGATCTTACAAAAGAAGGGTCTCATGAATTCTTGCTTGCCTGTATGCAAGACTTGCTGGATATTTTACAACATAGCAAGCTTAGAGCTCTAGTCATTGACACTTTTGGAGGCAGAATAGAAAAATTACTGAGGTAGTTTTATTAGTGGAAAGAACATATATGGTATGTAACAACATACCACTTCAATGAATTATTCATGTCATGTTTCTTGCATGCATATCAGGGAAAAATATATTCTCGCTTGTGAAGTGATGGATGTAAAAGGTTCAGCAAGTTATAGCGAACAAAAGGAAAATTGCAGACTTCTATCTGATAATGCTTCTCAAAGTAGTACAATGTCGACTGCTTTACACAGAGAGAGGACAAGCATTGATGACTTTGAGATCCTCAAACCAATTAGCAAAGGTGCATTCGGTAAAGTCTTTCTTGCACGCAAACGAACAACAGGGGACTTATTTGCAATAAAGGTAACCTCTGCACTCTTTTCTTTAATTACCTTATTAATTTTATTATTGTAAATGTCTTCTGTCAATCATGTTGATTTTTAGATTCCTAAAAGCTATAAAAAGTCTTCTATCAATCATGTTGACTGTTCTTTTAAAGTTTCTCTTGGCTTTGATTGTTAATCTATAGATTGTTGGTTATGGTGTTGTGCAGGTTCTCAAGAAATTGGATATGATACGCAAAAATGATATTGAGCGTATATTGGCTGAGCGTTATATACTCATAACAGTTCGTAACCCTTTTGTGGTAATATTCAACTTTAGAATTCTTGAGCTACAAACTTCCCATTCGTAATTAAAGTAAAAACCCATTATATTGTTGTTTTAGCTAACTCAATTATATTGTTATGTTGTTAACTAAACACAACACATTTCTATTTTATACTCCTTGTATATTTTCTTCCATCTGCTTATCCACATCATAAATTAGTTTTTGAGAAAGATGGGGAATGCTTTAATCATAAATTCTTTAGGCTTTGGAGCTGGTTTTAAACTTTTAATTGTTAATATACAATTTGTTATTGCAGGTCCGATTCTTTTATTCATTCACTTGTAGAGATAACCTTTATTTGGTTATGGAATATCTCAATGGAGGTGATCTTTACTCTTTACTAAGAAAAGTTGGTTGCCTTGAGGAAGAAGTCGCTCGTACATATATAGCAGAACTGGTTAGTTATTATGCTTACTGTGGATTTATATATATGCTGATCTAGATCTTTCTAAAATTTTGTTAGATTATATCATGTTTCAGGTTCTTGCTTTGGAATACCTCCATTCGCTTGGAATTGTACATCGTGACTTGAAGCCAGATAACATACTAATTGCACATGATGGACACATCAAGGTCTATAACTCCATAATTTTCCTTTTAACTTGGTATAAACTGCCTAATTATCTTGATTGTAATTACTAGTTGATTGCATAATGGATCAAGATACATTGATTTTGGGAGAGTGATCATAACCTCTTATATATGTATGAGCTCTAGTAGGATTAAATCTTGTTTCCCATGCTAACCTGGCTAATTTCTTTACATAGGGGGGAAGGGTAGAAGGTGCGGTTGGGTTGAGTAGAGAGAAGGAATGGAGATCCTTAATATATAGTGGTATGATACAAATTTATGGAGTATAAAGGTAAAGCTAATAAAAGTCACAATAAAAATGTAAATACAAATAAAACTAAGGATGGGCTTTTTACTGTACCTGGAGTGCTGTGAACAAAATTTGTCCCCATCCTGCCTTCCACCTGCTTGGGAATCAAAAGAACCAGTTATTTTAGATCTCTTTTCCTATCTCAAAAAGAAAAAATGGGGTGGGACAAAGACCTGATGAGTTAGGTCAGATTTGCCATCCCTATCTGTCAAATAGAACTCTAATTGGGTTATGCATCACCTAATAAATCTTCTTTGCACATCTACATGTGCCGGTTAGAATTTCCATCCCCATCAGTCTTTGTTATTGTAGAGTTAACCTATTAATTGCATATGTTATCAGCTTACAGACTTTGGGTTATCAAAAATTGGCCTCATAAACAACACAATTGAGTTATCTGGGCCCAAGGTAAGTGGAGCTGGGTCAGCAGATGCCAATAATCTACAGGCTCAACAAACAGAGGACAGAAGTCGACACTCAGCTGTTGGGACACCTGACTACCTGGCCCCTGAAATTCTTCTTGGAACTGAGCATGGTTAGGATGCAACCTGAGGTCTGGTTCATTTTAAGTATAGCAGGCAGTTGATTTCACTTAATGGGCATTCATGCAGGTTATGCAGCAGACTGGTGGTCCGTGGGAATAATCTTGTTTGAGTTTATAACTGGAATTCCACCTTTCACTGCTGAACGCCCAGAGGTACCTATCTTATCTCTCCATTCTCTTAAATGCTTGTATTTGTGGTCAAGGGGTTGAAATGACAGAGATTGTCTCTGGCTAAGCAAAATTTTGTTTCCTTTTAGGGTTTTCTTTGATATTTGAATTGTTTTTATCTTTTCTAAATCCTGTTGATGCCCAAAACAGATTTTCTGACATTTCTTTTGAACTGGATGTTTCCCTCCAAGCTTGATGTATAAAAAGGGAAAATACTGTTGGGGAGACATCTGGCCTAGTGGGAAGACATTCGGTGGCCCATCACACGTTTTGACACCATACATGGTTCTTGAGATATTTAACCCATATTTAAGCCACTCATTCCTCTCATATTTTTCTGATGTGGGACTCTAGTTCTTCACACTCACAAGGAGACAACACACTTCAACGAATACATAAAAGAACTTAGGATTGTTCTTGTGTGAACCTTAACTTGAATCTATTTTCTAACTATGGACGAAAATATCTCTAAGTGACTGACAATAACTAGTATAATGTTCTTATCACTTCATCATGGTTGTGCAGCTTATCTTTGACAACATACTTAGCAGACAAATTCCCTGGCCTTCAGTTCCTGATGACATGTCCTATGAGGCTCAAGATTTGATTAACAGGTTTGTCTTTAAATCTGAGTGTTAACATGTTGTTTGTACTGTCCATTTTCTTGACCGAATAATGTTGAGATGAAAACACTCTCTATGACAAGTGATCCCTATCGATTGAGACCCACTTAATGGTTAAACTCGTCTACCTTGTTTACTGGATTGTGTTCAGGGTTCAGGGTTGGGGGAGTAGATCAGTTTTAGTTTTATAATTGAGCATGTCTACATATTTTTAACCAATGTGAGTTTGTGATACTTTCCATCATCAGTTCCACAGTGTGAGGAATTTTCAATGGAACATTTTATTAAGCTCCTGTGCACTTTCATATAGGTTTCTTATCCATGACCCAAATGAGCGGCTGGGAGCAAATGGATCAGCAGAGGTTGTACTTCATTCCCACTTCTTCTGACAGAAGTTAAAAGTTTCTGTCTCCGCAAAATGAAAATATGAAGGAGGAACATGGTAAATATTAATTTGGTTTCTCTTACGAGAATAATCTTACAGGTAAAAGCACATGCTTTCTTTGAGGGAGTTAACTGGGATAGCCTTGCTATGCAAAAGGTGGGTTTGCATTGTTGCTATTATTTCCTGGAACAACATTATTGACTTTGTTGCACCAGTTTATATCATTGCATTACATTAAGACTTACAAAGTGCAGTGTCTCACATAAAAATTGTATGGACAATCCTGATAGTCTTAAATTAGGGAAAGTGATATCTATTTCAGTGAAGGCATGTCCTTAGTGTTAATAGCATGACTGACAAAGTACCATTCCAGTGTGGTAATAACCTGTTGCCTTTTGCTTCTCTTCACAGGCTGTTTTTGTTCCAAACCCTGACAGTGCAGATGACACAAGCTATTTCGTATCACGCTTTAATCATATTTCTGGAATCCCAGAGGATCATAATGGTAGTTATTCCAATAGTGATGCTTGTACCTCAGACTCAAATTCAGAAGTTGAGGTAAATTTGCCAGTTTAACATGTGTGAAAACTGTCACTGGGCAAAAGTTTTTTCCTTCCATTAGGTCTCCTAAATAGAAATTGTAAATCTATTAGTGACTGAAAATATTCTCCATAGATAAAGCATTTGTACTTTTTCTTCCTGTTTTTGTGTATCTGTAGCTACAACATGGCTAAGCTTTTCTGTTCTGATTCTCTTTCGTTTCTTTCCTATTCAGAATGATGGATGTGGTGACCTGGCAGTTTTTGATTCCTCCCCTCTTAATCTCTCATTGATAAACTTCTCTTTCAAGGTATGCCTACTTGTCTCCTTGAAATAAAAGACATGAACGATGAGTCATTTCCTGGTGGATGTTCCTCCAATTTCCAAATAGAACTTGCAAATATAACAATGACAAAAGGCTTTCCAAAGACTTGGAATGAATGTCTCCTAAGAGACGGCCGAATGGTTAAAAATTTGAGCCTATGGGGAAATGTTTGGAAAGAGATGGATTATTTTTTATTGTATAGTTTATTATTGGACATACTAAAAAAAAAAAAAATAAATAAAGACTTGGAATGAATATTCTTAGTCACACTAGCTGTATAACTCAGGAGGTCTTTATTATTTCCCAAGAAAGATTTTTAATTAAAATCCACTAGATTTTTTTTTAAATGATTTTTTTTACTGGCACTTAGCACTAGAAGCCCACTGGTACTAGAGGTCCACTGGCATTAATCAGTCAGCCGGTGCATTCTTCCTCTCCGGGCGCGTTTCGAACCCGCTCCTTGCCAAAACGTTCAAAAAAAAAAAAAAAGGATTTTTTTACTGTATTTGTTTTATGATTTGTGTAAACAAAATTGTAATTGTTCCATGAGAAGCACTTCAAATTTTCATGCATATAGTCGTGTTTGGGTTACAAAGCAGTTGATCTTGTTTCTCATTTTTCTTCTTTTTTTTTTTTTTTTAATCCAGAATTTGTCTCAGTTGGCTTCAATCAATCACGATGTGCTCTTACAAACTGGGAAGGATTCAGCCAAGTGTTCCCCATCGAGGGGTTTAGGGACTTAAGCTTATTTTTAATTTTAGTTTCAAAAGTACATTATAGGAATCATCTTTCATGATGATTTTCTGTCCCAGCAACCTAGAAAAATGAAAATAAAAAGTTTTAGTTTATTTTCCGTGTAAATCATATTTTTCAGGAATCCATCTTCTGATGTAAATGAGCTAGAAAAGGGAAAGAAAATCTGTGACATGGAAACACTCGAGTTATAGTATTATCCTTCTAAAGAAATGAAAGGATTTTTGTCATTCTCCATGTGCTCGAGCGTATGAAATATTATCTTCTTATAGCTTGAATGCCTGAACTTCTCATTCCAGCATTGCTGTGGGGCCTTTCCTTTATTATTATTTTTTTAATACGATATAATTTAAATTTAATATAAAAAAAAAAAAAAGAAAAAAAAGAAAAAAGAGAGAGAGAGAGAGAGAGAGAGAGTAAAGAGGCTCCCCATTTAAAGTCTAGCTCTCTAAAAATTTTTGTATTTCTATAGCTCGTAAACTTTTGCTTGACTGTAACATCGTACCTTTAAGAACTTTTCCAGAAACAAGATCACGTTACCAATCAGTATAGCCAATAACAAAAACATAAACTGAAAGGAACTAACAACAGAGTTTAAATTGATTTATCCAAATTCCTAAGCATGCCCTCATTGTGAGCAAAATTACCATTACATAACTACAGGAATAAATTTTGAAAGCCTTCTTTTATTACGATGAAGGCAAACGATCAAAAGCCATCGTTGATTAAGTGCAAGAGCTTACACAGGAACTGCCAAGCCCTTTTTTGCCATGCCATCCAGTATATCATTAAGAGCTTGACACACACCAACAATCTGCAAAGTCACAAACACAGAGAATTAGAGCACGTGATTCGGTATTCTTTCACTTCACAACAGTTAGAAGATACGATTTTAGGGAACTCCCAAGTCTTTGGGGCCTTGAGATGACTACCTGTTGATCCCAACGTTGTAGTTCTACAGTGTCATCTTCAAAATGTATTACAGCTTCCACCTGGTATGCAAAAATATCCATTAACAAAAAACAATCGCTCTGCAGATTATTCTTTCATCAATCCCCAAGAAAATGAAAAGTGCTAATCAAAGGTCAAATGTTACTGAATAACTCAATTGTAATAATTTTCATAATCATGATCAATTAATCCTTACTAGTCGAAATCAGATAAAACTTGAGGCAAGATATTCAAACCTGATCAATTGATCCCCTCATCCTATCTTCACATATCATTTTTGATGCTATCTTCTCAGCCTGTAAAGAAAAATCAGTCAAATTTTGTCCCCCTCA